TTTTTTTACTGCTGAGTAATATTCCATTGTATAAATGTTCCACATTTTATCTATTCTTTGGTTGGGGGCATCTAGGTTGTTTCCAGGTTCTGGTTATTATGAATAATGCTGCTATGAATACAGTTGAACAGGTGTCCTTGTGGTATGATTGAGCATTCTTTGGGTGTATGCCCAAGAGTGGTATCGCTGGGTCTTGAGGTAAGTTGATTCCCAATTTTCTGAAAAACCGCCATACTGATTTGCAGAGTGGCTGAACAAGATTGCACTCCCACCAGCAGTGGAGGAGTGTTCCCCTTACTCCACATCCTCTCCAACATAAGCTGTCATCAGTGTTTTTGATCTTAGCCATTCTGACAGGTATAAGAGCTGCTTTTCATTACAACCCAAACTCTATCATATTTCATTGTTTACTTGTATTTTTATACATGGGATAGCATCAGCATTAACAATAACTACTTGGGACTTTGAGGGGTCCAGTAAGTACTTACTGCTCTTTCATCTTGTACTGAATAAACTGAAGAAATGGGGCGGGGGGAGTCAACAGAGAGAGGGGCCAATATATGACCTTTATCAACAACAACAAACAAGCCAACATGGACTTGTGTGTGCCTGCAGTTAGGCTGGCTCATTCACCAGCCGCTGGAAGCACCAGACAGCACCAGACCCTTCCTACACAGGGGTAACACCCACCCTAGGGTGCACAAGTAACAGGTTTCTCATTAAAAACAAAACAAAACACTCAGGTGGCCACTTCCTGTCCTCTGTAATGGAGTAAAGAAAGTCAGATGATCCCTGTCATGTGGAAGGGAATAGCAAAAATATAAGCGAGGTGCCTCTCTTCCCCACCTAACAGTGCCTACCATTTTATTCATCTACCTTGTTCTGTCCATGGTTGACCAGTTTCCACTCTCACATGGCTGATCCCCTGGTACAAACAGCTGCTCTTCTGAGATGCTCTTGGACATTTTGGAAGTTCCTATTTTACTTGCAGGTGGTTTTGAAATGATCAGAACAATGGGTCAGTTAACTATAACACTAGACCCACAGAGAGTTCATTCTCTGTCCTGTTCTACTGCCAAACCATGTGCAGCTCATTGTCTAATATAACTAGTCAGCAAATCTTTAATGAGATTGAATTGCCTCATTAAGGGATATTAACAAAATACAGGCTCAGACAATATGGTGCATACGAACTACTTTGAAAATTGTTCCTAATTTAAGGGCTCACAGAATCCTCCAGTCTTAGAATAGGGACTCAATATACTTGTACAAAGTGTCTTTTCCCTATGTAGTCTGCAGAGGACAATTATGATGCTCTTCTGGTGTAGCAAAGAAGTCCCACAAATGTACATGTGAATGTATACAGATTTATCATTTAGAAAGATATGTATGTTGATATCACCATTACTATTAATTAAACCCATTGTAAATACATTTCAGAGCTTAAGATTAGTTGCAGAGGATGTAACAACAACGTCTACCATTTAGTTTTTATTTTTAAGATTTATTTTAGGCCTGGAGAGATGACTCAATGGGAAAAAGCACTGGCTGCTCTTCCTGCAGGCCTAGGTCCACTTCCCAGCACACATATAGTGGCTCATAAACATGTATAATTCTAGTTCCAGGGGATCTGATACCATCTTCCAGCCTTTGCAGGGACCATGCATAAAAGGAGTACACAGACATATGTGTATGCAAACATCCATACACATAAAAAATAATAAAATAAGTTTATTTTTAAAATTTAAGAATTATTTTATTTTATTTTTAAAGATTTATTTATTTGTTTGTTTGTTTGTTTGTTTATTTATTTATTATTTTTTGGTTTTTTGAGACAGGGTTTCTCTGTGTAGCTTTGCGCCTTTCCTGGGACTCACTTGGTAGCCCAGGCTGGCCTCGAACTCACAGAGATCCATTTGGCTCTGCCTCCCGAGTTATTTATTTTTATTTCATGTGCATTAGTGCTTTGCCTGCATGTGTGAAGGTGTCAGACACCCTGAAGTTGGAGTTAAAAACAGTCATGAGCTGCCATGTGGGTGCTGGGAATTGAACTCAGGTCCTCTGGAAAAGCAGCCAGTGCTCTTAACTGCTGAGCCATCTCTCCAGCCCCTATTTTATTATTTTATTATTTTTAATTATGTGGAGGTGTGTGTCTACATGTGGGTGTGTGTATATGAGGGCAAGAGCCCACAGAGGTCACAGGCATCAGACCTACTGGAGCTGGAGTTACACATGGTCCTGAGACACCAGAAGTAGGTGATGGGAACCAAACTTGGTCCTCTGATAGCAGCAGCAAGTGCTCTTTAACCACCAAAACATCGCTGGCCCCTCTACAATTCATTTTTAAGACATCCTTTGTCAGAATAGTATTTTTTGAGAGTGAGAATGTTTTTGTTTGTTTGTTTTTTAAATAGAATACTATATATGTATTTAGCTTTTCTAAAACTAGAGCATTAACATTTTCTTTTTCTTCTACTTTTAAATCAACAGAAGAGCAGAGGATTTTTTAAGTCAAGCATGGGCACAAAAGCTTTAAAGGGGGGCCTGGAGAGATGGCTCAGAGGTTAAGAACAGTGGCTGCTCTTCCAGAGGACCTGAGTTCAATTCCCAGCAACCACAGGGTGGCTCACAACCATCTGAAAAAAAAAAAAAAAAAAAAAAAAAAAAACCTTTAAAGGGGCAAGAGGGTCAAAACACACACTCTGACAAGTAGGCAGATGAGAGTGTGCATTACCAAATGGCAATGTGAGGCAGGCAGCTCCCCCTGCTCTGTAATGTGCTGCACACATGCAGTGTGGTAATAGTGCTTAAGAAGACATTTGTCTACAATAGCATTGATGTCAAAGAACTGAAAAGGTCACCAGACACCACTGTCTTCCAGAGTGGCCCACCAGCTCAGACCATCCTCCCTGGAGCAGCTCCTCCTCAAACACCACGCCATCTCTGTCACTAGGGACAGTGATTCAGTGACAAAGCCGGAGCAGCAGAGCCACGGGATGAGGTAGGTGTGGTTTGCTTTCCAACATCCCACTTCTTGACACAGACGCCTGACCGCTCAGCTGCTACTGGTATCTACCAAGGCATTCAGTGCTGGCCAGCACAGAATATTATTCCTTCTCAGTGAACTACAGGCAAGCATTTGTCCTGCAGTGGGGCTCAGTGTGTCCTCCAGTTAAATTCCAACTTCTTCTTGGCCAAGTCCAAGAATTCTATGGATTGTAGCTCACTGACAACTGATGTTGCCCAACCATTCACTAGCTTAGTCCCAACACGTCTGCTGAGTGCAGGATTGTGGACCCGTACTAAACTGTGTCCTCACCTTCCGTTCCCTTTCCAGACCACCAGAGTAGTCCTAGGCACCAGAACTTTCCAACGTGAAGATGGTAGGAACAGGCCTAGCAGATGCCTTGATGACCAAGAAACCTCACTTAGAGGGAGTCTGGTGCTTCCCAGAGTGAGAAACGGAAGGAGGCAGACAAAGGGAACAGTGGGCTCACAGAGAAGGCCGAGTGAGGATGTAGGGAAAAGGAAATAGAAAAAAAAAAAAAAGCTGGTGGGAGAAGGAAGCGAAGCCGAGGTGCACTGTCCCTTTACAAGCACGTCATACATCTTAACTCCAAACAAGACGAAAAGCACAACCGATTTAGTGTGAATGCAGTGACTTCCCGAAAGCTACAGTAGTCAGAGCTAAGTTTCTGAGGATGTGCCGTGAACACCATTGACTCACAGAGGCAAAAGGGTTGGAACATGTGTGGCCTACACAGAGATTCTTTCTCACGAGGATGGCTGAATTATTTCCACCAAATAGTGGGTAGATTCCAACTGCTGAGGGAAAGGGGTTTCCTGATTTAAAAAAAAAAAAAATACAAGCAATCCTAATCTCCAGCGTGCGCTGTGTAGTCTCTGGTGTATAGCAGAGCAACAACAAGCAGAGAGCGAGTCTGAGGAAAGATCCATCACAGTAGACAGCTAGACACGACTGCCTGTCAGCCACTCCCACTTTAGAGACAGCCCTGCTTAGTTTCCCCAACAGCTCAATCCATTCAGCACCTCAAATTAGGTACAAAATGACTGAATGTCGTTCTCGTTTAGAAAATACCACCTTCAGGTTGGCTATAATGGCATCTGCCTGTGATTCTAGTTCTTGGGAAACAGAGGCCAGAGTTCAAGACCATCTGGTGTTACATGAGACTTGGTCTCAAAAAAGAAAGAGTGGAAGGTAGAAAGAGAGAGGGGGAGAGAGAGAAAATGAAGGGGGGAATGAATTGAAATGAAAACAGAAAAAGATTACACAATACACCTTCAAATATCTCTCAGGTGGATCCTACAAATGATCCTCTTTAAGTTACCACCACCTTCCTTCCATCACACACTCCATCCCTCAAGCTCTTAGCTTCCCTCATCTGACATGAGCCCCAGGCATAGCTATTTTAGTCTTCCCCCTCTGAATGCATCCTGGCCATAAGCAGCCCTTTGATGTTGAAGGACCTGGACCACATGCACCATCTCACAGAGCATCTCAGTGATCCAGACTAAAGGGGAACCATCGCTTCCTCAGCTTCTAAAACTAGAATTTATGTAGAGAGCCTCTGGTGACCCTGGCATTTTCTCATCAAAGATTACTAAGTTAATTACCAAACTTAATCACCAGGGAAAGCCTCTTGCTGGGCTTCTGGGTCCAGGGAAACATCTCACCTTCCACACAACTGTGTCCTTTATGCTTTTCCTGCCCCCGCCCCTCCTCCAACAGGCCCCAGACAGCAGACCTGAGGAACAGCAGCACAGTGACCGAGTTCATCCTCGTGGGCTTCGAGCAGAGTTCCCCTTCCACACGAGCTTTGCTCTTCAGCCTCTTCCTGGCTCTCTACAGCCTCGCCATGGCCATGAATGGCCTCATCATCTTCATCACCTGGACTGACCCCAGGCTCAACAGCCCCATGTACTTCTTCCTTGGACACCTGTCTTTCCTGGACATCTGCTTCATCACCACCACCATCCCACAGATGCTGATCCATCTGGTGACCAAGGACCACACGGTATCCTTTGCCTCCTGTATGACCCAGATGTACTTGGTCTTTCTAGTGGGTGTGGCCGAGTGCATCCTCTTGGCTTTCATGGCCTATGACCGTTATGTCGCAATCTGCCACCCACTGAACTATGCCCAGATCATGAGCCAGCAGGTGTGTGTCAGGCTGGTGTGTTCTTCCTGGATCTTTGGGATGGTCAATGGCATCTTTCTTGAGTACATGTCATTCCGGAATCCCTTCTGCAAAGACAACCACATAGAAAACTTCTTCTGTGAGGCCCCCATAGTGATTGCCCTCTCCTGTGGGGACCCTCAGTTCAGCCTGAAGTTGATCTTTCTTGATGCCATTGTGGTGCTGCTCAGCCCCATGGTGCTCATTGTCACCTCCTATGCCCGCATCCTGACCTCCATCCTCAGCAGAGCCTCCTCCTCAGGCAGGGGGAAGACCTTTTCTACTTGTGCCTCTCACCTGACTGTGGTCATCTTTTTATACACCTCAGCCATGTTCTCTTACATGAACCCCCGCAGTACACACAGACCTGACAAAGACAAGTCTTTCTCTCTCCTCTACACCATCATCATGCCCATGTGCAACCCCATCATCTACAGCTTCCGTAACAAGGAAATGAAGGGGGCCATGGGGAGGGCCCTTGGGAGAGGCAACCTGGCTTAGGCTGCTCTTGCCCAGAAGGAAGCCCTCTGGAGAAGTTTCCTTCAATGGGGGGTGAATGGTTAGTTTTCCCAGCCCTTGATCTCCAGTTCTGGAGAGGCTCTAATTTGCAGCTTCCTTGGCACCAGGCTCAGAGATCGAAGTTCCTCCTGATGTCTAAGGCTCACTTCTGACTTCATTTCCAGAGTTGGTTTTCCATGGACTTTCCTTAAGAAAATGTGAGGCTTTCCTGAATTTTTCCTCTGTGTTCCTCAGGATTCGGTGAATAAGTGCATTGAACTCTATCTTGCTTGTATAATTCTTCTACATGCCATTCTCCAGGATAAGTTTTGCACATACATTTAGGAATAAATGATCTTTCAGCCTTTTAACATGCCATATTAGTTTGTTTTTAAATATATTTTTAGTTGAAACAGAATTACATTCCTCTTCCCTCCCTCCAGGCCCTCCCAGCTATCCTCCCTAAAACCCACACTCCGTGTTGATAGCCTCTTTTTCTTTATTTTTGTAACATATGTACATGTATGTATGTATCTGTACACACAAATACATATAAACAGAACTTACGGAGTCTGTCTTTGTTGTTCGTATATGGTTTCAGGACTGACTACCCTCCATTAAACCCCCCAAATGCCAACACTACATAACTTTATTGTTTGTGTGTTGCTGGGGAGGGCAGGTGGGGGGAGGGCAGTGTTTCAAACCCCTTCTTCTAAATCCTTCGGCTTCTTTTAGTGACACAACCATCTGCCTCTCCATATAAGTAAGTGCCCCACCAAGCTCCACAAGCTGCTGTGGATATCGCTCTATATAAATAAAACACTGATGGCCAGTGACCAGGCAGGAAGTAGGTGGCCAGGCAGGAAGTAGGGGGGACAAGGAGAGAGGAGAATTCTGGGAAGCGGAAGGCTGAAGAGGGAGACACTGCAGCCACCGCCAGGACAAGCAGCATGTAAAGACACCGCTAAGCCACCAGCCACATGGCAAGGTATAGATTTATAAAAATGGGTTAATTTAAGATAAAAGAACAGTTAGCAAGAAGCCTGCCATGGCCATACAGTTTATAAGTGATATAAGCGTCTGAGTGATTATTTTATAAGTGAATTGTGGGACTGTGGGGCTTGGGGAACCTGGAGAGAAGCCCTCCAGCAACAACAAGCCACAAGTTTCCTTATGTTTACAATACCCAAATCATGCCCCACCCACCCTACTGCCTTCCTCCTGCTCCTCCATCTTTGACTGAATTCTAAATTAAATCACTTCCCCTGCCTCCTCACCGTAAATGGATTTGTTTTATTCTTGGTACTCCGAGGAACGCTACCCACGCTCTCTCCGCCACCGCAGGAGCCTCTGTCTGATTCTCTCTGGCTTCCCGGACCCTGTTCCCTTACCCGGACCCCCTTTGTTAGTGGTTTTCTTTGTTTTCCAATTGCGTGTTTTTCAAGCCCCTTTGATAACAGATAGGTTTTCTTTTAAAACCTATGCTCTTTGATGGTGCGATTGCGCTCCATTTGGAAGGCCATCAAACATCAATATTCGGGCTGCATCCTGCGCATCATTTGCTGCCCTCCGTAACGGTTGACTCACGGCAATAGCTTCGCTCCCTGGCACTACCGTCTTATGAGTATCCAGAAATCAGAAAAATGTATGAAAACCTGGTAAAGAGAAAGAAATGAGACAGCACTGATATGTAGAAAAAGCAATACATGTAGAGTCTACACGTTAAAGAAAAAAAAACCTACAAGGAGTTAAACAGGCGCAAGAGACTTCAAAAACGATTACAACTGGAGATTGAACTCAAGTCCACACTAGAGGAATTTTCGAGAGCTTTTCTAGGCAATGTGACGGGATACTAAATTAACAGACAAAAGTCAACAGCCTTCCTATGTGCCAATGACAACATGCTGAAGAAGAAATCCAGGCAACAATCCCATTACACACACACACACACACACACACACACACACACACACACACACACACACACACACACACACTGAAAGCCCTCTACAGTGAAAGCTTCAAAACACCAAAGGAATGGGAGGTGGTGGCGGCGGCGGCGGCGGCGGCGCACGCCTTTGATTCCAGCACTTGGGAAGCAGAGGCAGGCAGAGCTCTGTGAGTTTGAGGCCAGCCTGGGCTACAGAGTGAGTTTCAGGACAGACACCAACGCTACACAGAGAAACCCTGTCCTGAAAAACCAAACCAAACCAAACCAAAACACTGAAGGGAGAAATTGAGGAAGATGCTAGAAGATGGGAAGACTGCCCCCGCAAATGCATCCCTGGGCCCTTCATCACAGAAATAGACTAAAATACATACGGAAATACAAAAGCAAGTCTGAGAAAAAGGATTACCGCTTAAAGTGTTGCAACATTATTTCAAGTTATATGACAGAGCCAGACTAGTAAAAATAGCATGATATTGGAACCAAAGCAGACATGCTGGTGAGTGGAATTGACTAGAAGACCCAGATAAAATCCCATGTCACTACAGCCATCTGATTTTTGACAGAGGCCAAGATAGTGTGTATCATTAACTTTACAGGATCTGTAATCGCCTGGGCGTCGAGCCTCCAGCATACTTGTGAGGCATTGTTCAGCCTCTGAGCATGCCGGTGAAGAATTATGTAGATTAGGTTAGCTGAGGTGGGAAGAGCCACACTCGAGGTGGGCAGCGCTGTTCCCAGTTTTGTATAGGAAGCTTCAAGCTAGCAGAGCACACTTCTCCATCCTCTCTGCTTCCTGCCTGTGCATACCATGTGACCAGCTGCTTCAAGCCCTGCTGCCTTTCCTTCCCAGCCATCACAGGCTGTATGCCCTTGAACTGTGAACTGCAATAAACCCCTTCTGTTTTATCGCTTTTATTGGGGTGTCTCACACAGCAATGGGAAAAGAAACTAAGATAAATGCTAAGAATACACTTTGCAGAAAGACGGCCTCTTCAACTAATGGTTCTGCGGAAACTGATGTCTACCTGAAGGTATCCCAAAATGAACTCCAATGCATCAAGAACCTCAACATGAGACCTGAAACTTTGAAGATGCTAGGGGGGAAAAGTAGGGGTACACTTCAAGATACTGGCATAGGTAAGGACTTTCTGAGTAGGACTCCAGCCAACAATCAACAAATGGGACCTCATGAAATTAAAAGGCATCTAACAGCAAAAAGAAACTGTCTGCCAGGTGGTGGTGGCACACACCTTTAATCCCAGCACTCAGGAAGCAGAGGCAGGTGGATCTCTGTGCATTCAAGGCCAGCCTGGGCTACAGAGTGAGTTCTAGGAGAGTCGGTGCTATATATCGAGACAATGTCTCATGAAAGAAAGAAAGGAGGGAGGGAGGGGAAGGGAGGGAGGGAAGGAAATAAATGACTGGGTCAGTGAGATGGCTTATCAGGTAAAGGAGCTTGCAGTAAGGCAATTCTGGAACTCACATAGATGGAAGAAGATCCAAGAGGAGACCTACTCCCACAAGTTGTCCTTGGCCCTTCTTATAGATATCGCAGCATGTAGGTGCTTGTGCATACACACATTCACAAAAATAAGTAAGTGTAAAAAGTGTTTAGAGAATAAAAGGGAAGAATGGTGCCAGCCTTTTCCTTCAAATGCTCTTGAGGCTGCAGAGAGAGTAGACCCTCATTCATTGTGTGGGGGAGTGTAAACTAGTGCGGCCACTAAGAAAAGCATTGCAGAGGTGTCTCAAAAAGCTGAAAATAGAACTAATATGATCCAGCTATAACACTTCTGGGCAGATACACAGAGGGCTCTAGATCCTGAATCAGAGGCTCCATTCATAATAATTAGAAAATGGCACCAGCCTAGAAGCCCATCGCCTGAAGAATGGACATTGAAAATATAGTAGCTATATATAATATAATTTTATTCATCAGTAAAAAATGAAATTTGTAGGAAAAAGGAATGAACGGGGGAACATTATACTGAGGTAACCCAGGTCCAGAAAGATAAATGATATATGTTCTAGAACGTGTGGGTCCTAGAGTCAAACTTGCAGATTTGTGTGGTTAACTTGGACCGTCTGTAGGAACAAGGAAGCTAGAAAGGGGTCCAGGGCTGTGTAGGGGGAGGGGCTCAAGTGAGAGGAGAGAGCAAAGGGATGGTCCAGGAGCCGCGAAGGTTGAAGCATGGATGAGTACAGGAAGAGAAGGTCAGGGCAATTAACAAAAACCAAGAGGGTAAGAAAAGGCCTCCTGAGATCTACTTTGTAAGCTGAACAAAAATATTTTTTAAGAAGAGGGAGGGGCTGTGCTGGAGAGGAAATGGGCCCCTGTGTTGCTAATTGGTGTTACCTAAGGGAAAAGTAAGCTTGTCCTATGTCTTTAAGAAGACATTAGTTTAACTTTTTGGAGTCAGGTTCCTACTGCACCCCCAGACCGAGAGATGGGTACCATCTTCCTTAATGATGGACATTCAGTAGCTCAGGTGCTGGAATTCATAATAATTCCTAAGTCATAAACTGGAGGTAAGTTTCCAAGATTTATATACATATCAAAGGACCAGAGAGAAATTAATAATCCCAAGCATTCTGATTCAGCAAGAAAAGGGAGACTTATAAGCAAGAAGGGCCCTGTCGAAAGTTATCAAACCAAGAGGAAGGTCTAGATCTTTCAGGTCACTGTGGAGGAAAAGAAGGCCTCGTCTTCCCGCCTGGAGTCCTAGCTTCTCGAAGTGTGAAATTCCAATTTGCAAAAAAGCCTTTGAAGAGGAAAAGAAAAATGGTAAAGGAAAGGCAGAGAAAGAAGAAAGGGTGCTTTGGAAAGTTTTGAGAAATAACTTCATAGCCTCACATCAGTGGTTCTCAACCTTCCTAATGCTGCGACCCCCAACCATAAAATTATTTTTGTTGCTACTCCATACCTGTAATTTTGCTACTGTTATGAATCATCATGTAAATATCCGTGTTTCCCAGTGGTCTTAGGCGACCCCTGTGAAAAGGTCACTTGACCCCCCTCTAGGGGTCGCAACCCACAGGTTGAGAACCACCGCCTTACGGTTCCCTGGCACTGGTAGGCAATGAGATTATGAACAGGGCAGTTCAGCCAAAGAGCAAGCGCTGCTAAAAGGCCCATGCAAAGCACTATTGGAGCACAGGAAACAGCAGCAGAACCACCCTTCCCAGCTGGTCCCCATGACAGTAAGGTCGTTATGAGATACTACCACCCTGTTTCATATCAAAACCCGAAGTTCCTAGAGGGTGGTTTTTTTTTTTTTTCTTTTCAGATCATACATTATTTACAAGGCTTGGCTGCCGTTCTCACTCAGGTGCCCAGAACCTATCCCTCCTCTCCTAGCATGACACTGCTGCTGTCCTCTTGACCACTTCCTCAGCAGCTATGATTATCTGTAGATAACCTGCATACACCATTAACTATGTCACTGGAGGGGCGGGGCTTACGAGGCCCCTCCCCTCCCTAGACACCTGGGTAGTTAATGGTTACAGGGTGCGGGGCTCAAGATATCCAGAGTTAAGGGTTACAAGGAGAGAAATCTTTTCTTTGGTAGCGTACCTGCCCCTAAGTTGTCACGGACCTCAGTTAAATTCATTGGTTCACCAGCTGCACTGGGGTGGGATTTTGTTACTGTCCTCCTCAGCTCGCCTCGGAGGTCCAGAAGAATGCTAAGGAGGTGATGTTAGCAAAGCCATGGAGAATACTGAGGAGCTGTAGGGTGCTAAATAGAGAGGGATGCTGGCTGTCAGGACTAAAACTCCAAACAAAAGAAAAGGAATCTATTTCTTGTAGATGTGCGGTCAACAAGCATGACAGAAGGCGAGTTAGGGCCAGGAATGCTGAGAAATCAGACCCGGGGTGACCTCGAACTGTTCTCCCAAGGCCTCCTCCCAGTCGGAAGGGCTCACAAGCGATGCCACTGCCTGCGCCAGCTCTCCCCACCTGCAGCCTCGGACTGCCCCCTGGAAGGGAAGAGCCCCAGGGTCCACAAAAAAACAGACAATTACTAAAAGAAACGGCCCTGGAAAATGCTCGCCTCGTCCCAGCCCAGCCCTCCATTTCGTCCTAGGGCTCGAAGATGGAGGGAGCACCATTAAGCTCTAGCGTTAGCTCAGGCTTGCCCTAGGAACCAAGGCATGGGAAGGAACCTAGCCGATCTCTGAGATCCTTGGGCACCTTCCCCGCGGAGGCCACATCTCTCTGCCCAGCTTCCCCTGGCGGCAGCACCCCGCGACGCAGGCAGGCCTTGACCTGATTAGGACCGGCGAGCCTGCGACCAATCCGCCTTCCTCCGCCTCTCGGCGCGCCGCTGCGCAGCCAATGAGCGCCGTCTCCCCGGCCGCTCCTCCCGCGCCCGATCCAGATTTGTCAAGCGCGGAGAAACAAGGTCTATTTCGGGAAGGGACTGCAGCGGCCGCGGTCGGCAGCTGCAGGAGCCCAGGAACCCCAGGCGTGAGATACCCACCCGACCGAGTAACCCTCCCCTTCCGAGGAGGCTGCTAGGGGGCGGAGCATAGCCGGGGGACCTCGACCAATCACATTAGGCCTCGGTGGCTGCCAGTCCAGTCCAAGGATGCGGAGCCTAAATCTCTCCAAGCGATAGCTCCATTTTTAGCGAATTGTGTAATGCTGGGCTGCACTTTACCGCCGGTAAACAACTGCAATGTCCTCAGCCGCCTTATGGCCCCCTTTCAGTTAACGGCTCGAGGAAAGCCTCCTGACGCGTACCTGGAGTCACTGGACTCTCTGAGTTCCCATAATTTGTGTCTTTCTGATCGCTCTACTCCCTCGTTGTCTTAGAATTCATTTACTTTTCTCTCTATCCAACTAATACGTGATTAAAATTTCAGACCTTGGCACAAGCGCTTTGACCGTGACGGGGTGTTGTGACGGTATCCCTCATAAAATCAAGCAGAATCCTGGTACGTTAACCAAACAGCAGCAAAGCTTTTCCTACCGGACAGGAGAGAGAGTATTCCAGAGTCCTGACCCTACACAAGCCCCTGAGTCACCTCCTCTGAAATAGTTTAGTACGTAGAAATATGGTTTATCCGGGTCGTGAAAATTAAACGCACGTATTTGTTAACACTAAACCTAAAATTTGTAACACTAAATCTAAAGATCTAGATGTCTTCTGCCTGGCTCTTCAATCCCTCGTCCGTGTCATCCATCTCAGGGCGTGGAAGACTGACCTGCGTAAACTGCCCTCGTTCATCTCTGCTTTCCACGGGGTTCCATCCATGAATGGCAAAGGCCGAGCACAAGGTTGAGTATCTAGTCCCCTGGCTTTCTCTTTAGGGAGTCCTTTCACCTACAATTTCTGCTATTGATCCCCACTCTCCACCTAGTTCTGCCTCCAAGATCTAGAACAGAACTCACTCTGCTTCTAAATTTTTTGTGATTTTCCCACACCCCCACCTGGGCCTTTAAAAATAGCCCTTTGTTAAATTCTCTTCAAATTATCCTATGCTAACGCAAGACCCCCCCTTCTTTACTGGGAAGCAGAAATAATCACCTCATATAGGAATATTTGAAAGTGGCTACAGGGGCTCTGGAGAGAGGCAAACCTGAGCACAGGGCTGTCATTCATTCGTTCATTTGATGAACCTATGAGCTGTCATAGATATTTTGGAGTGTATCTGTTACACTGCACATTTTTTTCAAGAACTCTCTCCCCCCACAGGAGTGGACCGTTGTCACCAAGAAAATTCTATGAGATATCACCATCACTACAACTGTTGACCCTGTCAAGATAAGTCAATAGTAACCTTTTTTTCCCCTAAGAATGTATATAGCTATGTAGTAGAGAAGACTATGTCAGATGGGAACAGACAAGAGCCTCAAGCTATGGAGCACCTGACTTCTGCCTTGTATTCACAGAGAAAAAAGTTGGTGTGAAGAGAAAATGCATTGAAGTCAGAGGGAAAGAGAAAGAGCCTAAGATAATGGCTCTCCTGCTTTGTGTGAAATATTTATGTCTACTTGTAGTAAACCCCGGAATTGTGACCACGCACCCATAACAACTATTAGCAGCACCCTGTGTACCCCAGGCACCACGCACCTCTTCTTTATACTTAGAGTTCATTTTGCTGTCAGAATTGGGGGACTTTTCTGTGAGATTTTCTCATTCCAGCCTTTCATCTTCCAAATAGTGTTCTGATATATTTCGGTTGTTTTATTTGCTCCACAAGGGATCAAATTAACCATAACTCTGGCCCATGGCATGCACCATTATTGATGTCTTCTAGTAAAAACTCTCTTGTTTTGTTCATATCTTTGTTTCTCCTTTTATGGCAGGTAATAATGTTCTCCTGTGTATATCTGTGTTTAGTTGCTTTGTGGAATCTTTCTCCTGTACTGCAGATGGAGCCCAGGACTCTACCCATGCTCGGTAAATGCCTAATGCCAAGCTATATCCCCATTCCTAGACATACACTTTTCAAGTTCTCCAAAGTTGGGGAGATGTATATCCTATCATGTGTTTTATTTGTTTCACTGAGTGTGGTTTTCCAGATCCATACCCTATGCCAGATACTGACGTTTACTCTGCCTCATGGTGATGCCTCTCTTGACCCACTCTTGCAGGACCAGACTCCAGTGTCAGCTCCAGGCATACTTTGTAACCGTACATGGGACATCCCTGATTGCTCCATACTAGAACTGTAACAAGGTTTCCTTTGTACTGTGTAAGGCCCCTGGTTGTGGCTCTGTTTGAAGTATCTAAGAAATTCTGAGTGACTGGCTCTGCAAAGCAGGCGAAAAGAGTGCAGGACTCTGACAACGCTTGCCACTTCCTCGCCTGGTTTTGGTAGATATCAAGAGATACCACATCCTTGGTTGAGCTTGCAATTACATTACTAACCACTTTAATAAAATTTCCATATACCTGTTAGGTTTCCCTCCTTAGTAAATTGCCTGTCCATACTTGTTGCTTTGTGCCAGCGCTCTGCTGTTCTGTTCCTGTTTCTTTGCAGGTGTTATTTGTACATTTCTGGAATGGTATTTCATTCTTGTTAGTCATCGACCTACTTTGTCTGTGATGCCCTTTGAAATTCACAAATTCTAACAGAGGATAAATATGTCGAATTTATTCTTTGCTCCTGCTACAGAAAATGGAATGCTTGTTACTGCTACAATCAAAACTCTTTGAGTTTGAATTTGTAACATTTTTATCTATATAACATTAGCATATTAAAAGGTTAACTTTTTTGTTTGTTTTGAGACAGGGTCTCTCTATGTAGACCAGGTTAGGCTAGAATTCTCAGAGATCCTACTGCCCCTACCTTCCAAGTGCTGGGATTAAATGCATAAGCCATCATGCCTGGCTCAGTGTTAACTTTTAAAAGGTATTTATTTCATGCATTTATGTGCATGTGGTGTGTGGGTGTGTGGGTGTTCAGAAATTTTAAATTTTTGTAATCAGAGTTCTTGTGGTGCTTTTGAAAGTACTGATATATGGGTACCTACTCTCTCGGTTTGTTTATTTTCTGCACATCTGTGTATCTGAAATTTTTTGGTGAGCTCCCACTAGTCATGACATACATGCCTCCAAAGAAATTATATTGACTAAACATCACCTTTGAACTTTTATTCCCATGGACTTTTCAACTACAAAAATTATACCTAAGTATTTAAAGTCAGGTTTGTTTATGTATTTTGCCTGATCTCTGTGGCTATCAGGAACTCACCCATGTGGTTATTTTCAAGACTTTCCTTCGGGATGCAATTAGATCCAGAGCAGCATCAACTGCTCCTGTCAGCTCCTTCCAAACCAGGGGTTCTCAACCTTCCTAACGCTGCGACCCTCTCATACAGTTCTGCATGTTGTGGTGAGCCCCAACCATAACATCGTTTCATTGCTGCTTCATAACTGTCATTTTGATGGTTATGACTTGTGAATATCTGTGTTCTCCGGTGGTCTCTGGGGGTCACAGTTGAGAACCTCTATTCCAAGCAATTACATTTTCATTAAATTGTTTCATCCTTCCTTCTGGAACTTGGCTTTGGCCCTTTATTTGTTCTTGAGACGTTTTCTTAACTTCCAGCACATTTTTACAAAGATACTTCTTTCCTCTCCTTTTATTTACTGGAGTGGTTCCCTTTGGAGTTCCACTCTCTGGGACATAACAGCAACGCATAGGAAGCTGTCTTCGTGACATAGAGTGCTACGCTGGCGTTCTCTCACCAGAGAGAAATGTACTTTGTACATTGATGTAGACACAATATGTAGGTTCATTTAGGGAAGTTTAGGTTGGTGGTTTGGCCAACGCCACTCCAGAGTGGGATGCTGTCTCTGTTACTGTCTTCCAATGTTATATTACATGTCCTTTGTAGTATAACTTGTTACAGATTTTCTGTGCAACATTTTTTACTTCGCTTCTATTTTACCTTGTCCCGCCTGTATACACAAATACTTTCCCTATACACCATGCCATTTTTTACATGGGAATATCCCCAGTTCAATCAGCAGAACTCACAGAAAAGAGGTTTTCCCCTCCATCTTCTGAGAAGCACGTTGCCCTTGCTCAAGAACACAGCTTTCTCCTGTGAATAGACCGCAAGCTCCTTAAGGGCATGGAGAGGTGGGATAAAGGAGCATCTGAAAGTCACAAGCTCTGCAATAGACCTCTCCTGATTGTTCTTCTCATTTCTCTCCGCCCATTCCACTTTTCTAGTTGTCTACTAGGAAAGGCTTAAAATGTCTCCTAGAATTATATTCCCTGATGAAATTAGTAAATGGACTATATTTTGTGTGACTCGGGGTTGCTAAGTAGTCATGCTGAGGCTGTGTACATGGGGTCAGGGTGGAAGTACAAAGGGAAATATATCACCAGACACTGCAGAAACCATATTGGATTCTGCAGAGTTCCTTGGCTTGGGAACTGGGATTTGTGTCAAATTTGATCAGATCTCTTATACACATAGGATGTCTCTTTGGAAATCTAATTCACATATAAAATAACTGTACAAACATTATCACCCAGGTTTTTTTTTTTTCAGAAAAAGAAAAATTTAAAGATTCTGAGAGATGACAATATGTTTCAGTTAAATTCCCACATCTGCTTTCTGAATTGTTCATTTTCACTCTTATTATTCAACACTTTTTCAGCTTACGATCAAGATGGTCCTGTATAATAATGTAAATTTTGCTTGGTGTGGTGGTGCCACACATTTAATCCCAGCACTCTGAAAGCAAAGGCAGGTGAGTTTGAGACCAGCCTGATCTACATAGATCTTTTCTCAAAAAAAAAAAAAGTAACAATAATAGTAATAATGTAAATCTCACTGATTCCTGAAACTGTTTATTCTCACACATCTAAACATCTTTGAAACAGAATGTCTCATATACCTGATGATCGCTCACAATTCCTACCAGCTCCCAGGAGTCATAATACCATACCTATCATACCTACACAAGTCTGACCCTCGCTATCATTTAAAGTAGTGTGACTGGGAATCTTCAGTCCCTTAATGTTTCAGTTCATCAACCCTTTAAGGATCCTCTGAAGAAATGTTAGCCCTGGGCATTATTCAAACACTTGCCTTAAACTCTCTCTGGCAAGATTAAAGGAAGTGCCAGCGTTTAAGACTGGGTACTGGGGCCGGGAGGAAACTCCCAGAGGCAACAGTTTCTTCATAAGAAGCTCTGTTTTGCTAAAACTCAATATGGCCCCTACTAGAAGTGCATGGAAAACCATGGACAACTCAAGGTCAAAAGTGGTTCAAAGGTGCCCAAGCTCAGGTGAAGTAATAACATTGTAATGACTTTTAGTTACAATTGTGTACACAGCAGTGATATTTGAAAGTTCCGTTTTAAATTAAGAATAAATGATATTTAAATAAGAATGACACTTTAAGACCCAAGTGATAAGAAAACAGTGGTCATTACTGGCAATATTTGTTTCCTTTTGTCAGGGTTCCTAAAATGAGGTGCCCCTCAGTCGGCTGTACCTTAGAGTCACTGGTAGACACTTCAGAGAGGATAAGCATGGAGATAGAATTGCAGCTCTCAAGGTACCCATAAATCTGGAAATAGATGGACAATGTGCTCAGAGTGAACAAAAGCTCACGAGGAATAGAAACAAGACAAAATGAGGTTATTGTTCCCCAAACAGGTACAAACAAGAAGATGTAGCCCCTTAGAGGAGGATGGGGTCACATTCCTGTATTTCTGAAAGGGGAGACTGAAGGGCCTTGAAGAGTGGAGAGGATTTGAACTGGAGGCCAGAGGACAAAGTAAAGGTTTTTAGTGAATGAGTGGAAATGAAAGTGTCTCCAGGGAATAAGGAGTAGTACACTTTGGCTGCAGAGTTCATTATTCCTTTCAGCTTTACCCATTAGGAAATGGGTGAAAATTGTGAACCTTGCTCTTAGAAATAAAAGCACAGATTCACAATCAAAAAGGTTTGTATAGTTTCTGTGTGGATTTCTCACTCATAGGCAACATGAGAGGAAAATGATCAGGGGAGAGAGACAAACGATGCCCGAGGCTGAAACAGAAGGCTCATTTCTGGAGATGTGGTTTGCACCTGACTTCTCTGGGAAGAAAGGGAGACCCATTCAGACTTCACCCAGGGACTGGAGGAGCAGGACACACTTGGGAATTATCCCCAGCACGGAACTGGATGACTTGGGCTTCTGATGAGGTAAGACAGTCTTTAAAAGGTAGCTAGGGAATGAAGTATTGATGGGGTAGGGCAGGAATGCCAGGCCCTTGTTAAGGAGGAGTTTGACTCTCTTCTCCCTACGCACGCAGGCACGCATGTACGCACGCATGTATGCACATTTTATATTTAATATAAGAAGTACTGGGAAGAAGTTGCAGATTGTCAAGGAGAATAAATATTCGGAACTCTGGTTTAGGAAGATTAATTTTTGGAGTATCAATGTATGAGAGGCAGAGGGGCAGTTAGTTTATTGCAGTTGCTTTTTATATTCTTCAAATCCATCCTACGCATTCAGCTTTCCTGTCTCTCCTCACACCCACCATATGGCAGGGAGCCAAGGTTTTAGCAGGCAGTCGCCAGTCCTGAAGGGAAAGACATAAATTCGCTTTGAGTTCCTCTTGTAATGTCTTTATCCCGCGACAGGTGGCACCATTACAGCATTATTTACTGAGCCCGGGTCTTTCTCTAAACACAGTGCTTCCAAGCAGAAAAGCTGTTTTTCAGAGGGAATTCACCTTCTGAGGACAATGTAGAATGGGAGCGGGGAAATGACAGCTAGACTAAGATTGATGATCAATCCTTCTGCGTTTCAATATCCAATATAATTGGTACCCTGGGTGAAGTTCTGTTTCTAAGCAGTTAAATAAGAGAAGATGTTTATGAAACGCTGCCTTTCAAAGCAAGAAGTTTTATGTCTCTCGAGAAGTAATAAACAAATATATTTGGGGGGGTAGTGATGAAGCTTAGTTCTAGGAGAACTTCCGTTTATAGATGGCAAGCAGAAACTCTCAGCTGCCACACCACTGAGAGCCCGTAAATCTGCATGCCGTGTCGAAGGCCAGCTTGAGTCACAGGGAAGCAGTGGATCCTCTAAGAGCAGATTAAGCTGTGCCAGGCTGAAGTTATAGCTTATTTCTATGAAACAAGATGTGCTTTGTCTTTGAGATTAAGAGCTAATCTCAAAGAGAGGTACCTTGGGCCAGTTAGAAATGAGAGTTCTAGAAACTGAGACTTGTTATGAGTTGTATGTGGGGTTGTGTTCTCCAAACAGAAAAATTTTGCTTGAAGCCACGGAGATTGATAGGTAGTTGTTTCCTCTCAATTAAAATGTGCCTCTATGCTGGACACACATCTTTAATCCCAGCACTCGGGAGGCAGAGGCAGGCGGATCTCTGAGTCTGAGGCCAGCCTGGTCTACAGACAGAGTTCCAGGACAGCCAGGGGTACACACATAGAAACCCTGTGGGGAGGAGGGCGTCTTTCTGAAGGGAGGGTGGAGGCTTTGAAAACTCAGAGCCCCAAAAGGTAGGACATCACAAGACCCGCCCCTGAACAGTTAGTTATGTAAGCAGTGACACTGGTGTATAAGAGACTCTTTGCTGGAGCTGCCTGTAAGTGGGGCAGGGAGCTCCAGGGATGCAGCTTTGGGGAACATCCATGCTGGGGTGGGCTGTTTCATGGTGCAGCTGCCTTTGAGTTACCCATGCTTCTGGAAGTAATGCCTCCCCCGTACCCTCTACTAAAGAACCCAATAAACTCACTAGTTCACCAATCTAGACTTTGGATGGAATCATTCGTTCGATTTGTCTTTGGTGAGTAGACGAGCGCTCTCACGTTCTCGGGAGATCTCAGACATTTCTTAGGTTCTCGGGCATCAGCAGCACTTGGACAGATTTCTAATATTGCGGATTTGGAAGTGGTGGCAGCATTGTACCCCCTGATAGGTGTCCGTGTAATTAAAATTCATCAAGTCAGTGGAGAATAATCAGGTGGAGATTGCCATTTCAATTCTGGGCAGGAAATACTCCAGAGACTCCGCCGGGAGGCATGGATGCTGGACATCCTGGCCCCACACAGGTCTTTTTTTCACGGGTATTTTTTGAGTTGAAAAATCTTGTTACACTTCACTCAATGGCTCTTACCATTTTAATGAGAGCCTGATTCTTACTCTTTAAGGATTAAGTAGAGACAATAGCCCTTTCTCTCTAGAGAGAATATATATTTGCAGGATTTTGTGTTTAATTTCCAATGGCTGTGACTTCCTGGAATTCAACAGAGGCCTTCCATAAACCCTGGATGGGAAACTGACCAAAGCTCACCAACAGTCTGAAGAAGAAACCCCAGAGGCCAGTGGGAATTGGGAAAGCAGAAATGGGGGGGGGGGAGGCAGGGCAGCCTTGCAGAATCTCTGAGATGCTGGCGTAGGTAAAAGAACTGCTTTCTGTAGGAAGATTTTCATCTATCTGGACTTGCAGGGAATAACTAGGGGCCTGGGGGCACATATGCAGAGGGATAGAATTGACATCAGTGGCTAAGTGACCCGACCAGAACTTTCTATGTCGCCTAAATGAGCTATGCTGCCTTTGGAATTTAGGTCAAATGATGGAGGATCTGAGCTACAGGGAACAGAAAGGGAGCTCACCTGAGGGAGGAGCTGTGAGGGACGCCTGCAAGCATAGGCCTCTTCCACTCCAACAGCAGGTTCAGACAGCCATCTGCTCAGTGCGGTGAGTAGATGATCATCCACTCGAGGCTGGAAAGGTCATGAACCAAAACCTGAACTGCGATCTCTTCAAACTGAGAAGGTGGAAACTGACTAAGTGAGGTCGGTTTCTTTTTCAGGATTCTCTCTCAGACTCTTTGAAGATCCAAAGAAAAGAGCCATTAGAAAGACGGTTTCTATCTAGGGTTCTTTGAAATTGGACTATCTCTGGGTTAGGTACTGGCTCTGTCGACTTCCAGTCTGTGACCTTGAAGTCTTAAATCTGTATCTGAGCTGTTATGTAAAAGTAATAACAGTTTCTACCTCATAGAGCTGCTGGGAGATAAAACTGGAATTCAATAACTGATCATCACCATGGTAAGGGATGCTGAATGTCGAAACTGTAGCTCATACCTACTTTTGCTTAAAATAAAACGGCCCATGCTATCTTAAGAAGCCAGCCATGCCCTTTTCCTTAATTCTGTCCTCAAGGGTAAGGGTTCTTTACATGGGAAAGGATGATATTAAAAGAGTTTACTCAAGAGGCAGAAGCAGGTAAATCTCTGAGTCCAAAGCCAGCCTGTTCTACATAGTGAGTTCCAGGCCATCCAGGGCTGTGTAGTGAGACTCTGTCTCAAAAAGAAAAAGAGGGTGGGAAGGAAGGAAAAGAAAGAGAGCAAGAAGGAAAGGAAAGGGGGCAGTACAAATTAGATCTGCAAAACAGGGGCTGGAGAAATGTCACTTGCTGCTCTTCCGGAGGACTTGGGTGTTCTTCAGCACGCATGTCAAGTGGCTTACAGCTGCCTGAACGCCAGTTCTTGGGAATCTGACACTCTCTTCTGGCCTCTGTGGACACCATATGCACATGTGCACACACAGAGGCACAAACACATACATGTAAATAATAAGTCTTTTTTTTTTTTAAGAGTCTTTAGGACCTTCCCTGTGTGGTTTTGCTTTCCTGGAGGAGTCAGTCACCTCCCTACAACCCCAGGAGAACTATAAAGACACTAACATTTACACAAGACCTCTCTAGGTATCATGTATTTTTCTTGCCAACAAGTTTTTATTCCTATCATATGCATTCTGAAAACCAAGTCTCAGAGTCAATTCAGTGTTGGAATTTAAAGATTCAAACCCATATCTGTGCCTTTAGCCCTTTTTGGAGCTCTCTGCAATAGAAGCAATTTTACATGCCACACACAGAGAGAGAAACACACACACACACACACACACACACACACACACACACACACACACACACACACACAACCTCGTCTGCTCTCAAACCTTTGTTCTGGGGCAGCCTCAGGACATCATCACCCAAGGGAGCTGCCTAGAGATGATGTCAGTGTTGACTCTTGGGGGAACACCTTGCCGGCATCTTCCACTAGAGGCCTGAGGCAGTTATTGTGGTTTCCTTAGTGATGTGTCACTCTGCTCCAGAAACCCTGGGCAACCCCTCCAGAACAGCGACTGCCACTCCATCCCCAGAACAGGTGTCATGCCTGCTGTGGCAGGGCTCTCGTTCAGAAGTCACCCCGTGGCGGAGGGGGGGGGAAGGGGGGGCGCAGGAATGCTTCACTGAAAAGAAGTCTTGGACAGGTGTGGGATACTGGCTACCAAAAAAACGTGTAAGCTGGGTATTTCGGTGCAGATCTGCACACTTCCCAGTCCAGTTTGGATTAAGCAGACAGATCCGGCAATGCTTGTCCCAACCAGAACAAGGTCAGTTAACTCTTGGGGACTGGAGGCCAGGAGTGAGGAGGGAAGGCATGGTCCCCAAGTTTCCGACTAAGCCCTGAGCCACACGCAGCAGACCCAGAAGCCCCACCCTCAAGCCCCCTTAGTACCAGTCAGCAAGAGGGGAGATGACGTCTTTTTATTAAGGTTGACACCAAGGAAAGCATTGCGAAGGAGGGGGAAGGGCACACAAAGTCACCACTTCGGAAGGGAGGTGGGGAGGGAGGCGCATCAGTGAAGGAACCTCAGGACAGCCACATGCTCCATGCCCTGGCAGAGGAGTGGAGTAAAAGGGGGGAAGAGAGGGGAAGTGCCATGGTAACCCGGGGCTCACAGAAGGGTCTGCAGCCCCCTGAACCTAATACTAGAGCCACAAGCCCTGCCCCTGAGGGCTCACACACTACTACACAAGTGGACGCACAAAACACAAGACATTATGGAGGCAACGCCAAAAGCAGAGAGAGAGGGTCGTGACATACCGACAGAAAAAGGAACTTAAGTGTAAGCGGGCATAGCCGGAAAAGACAGGTTTGGGCTGCAGCCCCTCGCCCTCCCCCCTGCAGGAGTTTCTCAAGCGTCCCCTACATCGGGTCTGTTGCTGACCAGCCCCAAGTCTCTGCCTGCGAACAGGGCACTTTGTTCTCTAGGTCCAGGTGAGTGGAAAGCAATCCCGGATGAAGTCAGTGACGGGCAGCTTCGGCTCTGCATGCAAAATCCCGGAGGCTGAGCTATTGTGTCTTCATGCACATTCATAGCTCCTCCCAGCCCAGGGGCCCTGGGAACCCCATGCACCCGGATTCCTAGGGCTGCAGTTCCCTCCTCAAGCTTCCTTCACCAATCAACAGCCGCAGAGATCTGTGAGGGGAGAGGCTTCTGCAGAGCACTGTATATCTTGGATTTCAGCAAAAGGGTAAATTTCCTGTTGCCAGAACAGAATATACCCCCAATTCCTTAATTTCTAGGTAAATAGAGATTATTTGCCAAAGTCCTAGGTGAGTCCTTTTTCAGAGTAGAAAAAGCAGAATTTTATTTACATAATTCAATGGTCCTCCTGTTTCCTGGGAAGAGGGGAGAGAGGGCAAGGTAAGGGGACGGATGGGAGTCCCAGAGATGGGCACTTCCTCTCCGGGAACCTCACCTTTCTGCAGTTTTGCTATGATGCGTGGTTGGGTGGAATTCGCGATGCTTCCGAAGTCCTTCACCCTACAAATCCTTCTGTGAGAGTCTCTCTCTCCCTGACCTATAAGAACCGCGTTTGGAGTGAAGCACACTGTTCAGTTCCCTCGCATTAAGCACTTGGAAACCCAAAGCCCAGGTAGTTGGTGGCCCCGTGGGATCCCCCTCACAGAGAGACCTCGCCCTCCAGCTGCAGCAGGGTAATGTCAGGCAGGTCGAGGGGCTCCACAAGTGGCCCATCCTCCCCAAGGAGACCAGCACAGGGGCTCTCGGAGCGCTCACAGTGACTGGTGGGTGTGGCGGGGCTGGGTATCCCTTTCTCCTCCTCTTCATCCTCGTCCTCCTCCCCGGGATCACGACCCAGCAAGCCGCTGTCCCCAGTCCCAGGCGAAGGTGTCTCCGGCTCATGGGGAACACTCGGGAAGCTCCCCTTGCCGCCAGCCACGCCCAAGCCTCCCTGGCGGGGCGCGGTGGTCATAATCTGGCACATGGAGACTATGGCCCGCTGGTTGGCGCACACGTCGTCCGATAGAACCTGGATGTGCGAGGCCTGCTCGTCCAGCGCCCCTCGCATGGCCCTCACGTCCTCAAACAGGGCCTGCAGCTGGGCCTTCAGGTGCTCCATCAGTTCCTTCATGCCGCCGTTATACTCCCCAGAGATCACGTCCCCCACGGCGGGCACCGTGGACACCTCCAGAGGCGCCGGCATATCGCCGCCGTCCTTGGTCATGATCTCCAGCAGACTGTCCTCCATTGAGTGGCAGAAGCGGGCGGTGGCAGCTCTGGGTCGCGTCCAGCCGGGCCTCCAGGATGGGGGGGAAGGGTGTGGAGGGGGAGAGGTCCCGGGAGGGACGGGGTGGAGCCCAGGGACACCTAGGTTCCCTAGATGGGCGGGGAGCCGACGTGAAGAGAGCAGCCCCAGGCAGAGGGCGCCGGCAGGATCACGGAAGGCCGAGAAGAGTCGACGGAACGAAGACCCGTCTAGGGTCCTGGGGCCAGCGTCTTCGGGCTTGCCCAGGGGCAAAAGTGCCCTGCCAGCTCGCCTCTCGGGTGGTGCCTATGTCCCCGCCGCCCTCCCGGCAACCACCGGCAGAGTGCCCACAGGCTCTCCGGGTCACAGAGGCGCTCGCAGACGGGTCGGGGTCGAGACGAGGACCTGCAGCGCGTCGTTCTCGGGACTCCCCCCACAGCCATCCACCAGCAGAGCCCGCGAGTGCGGCTGGAGCGGCAGGGGCGGGTCTCCCGGCCGCGCCGCGGATGCTCCCCCGTTTCCAAGGCGACGCACGGCACGTAAATGACGTGTGTCTCCATGGCAACGAGGAAGTGGAGAAGAAAGAGAACAGGGCTCCGAAGCTGCAGTGGAGCTGTGTTCTCTGGGCTGACGGGCGGGGCGGGGACGCTGCAGTGGCCTCAGAGAAGCTGCAAAGACCGTGTGGCTGCAATGTTTAATAGGACAGCATGAGAGAGCAGTTTGCTGCACGCCCCCCACCCCCAAGCCCGAGAAAGACCGTCTGCCTAGAAGGGCTTTTCACCAGCTCCCCGCATTCCTTCCTTGGAGGATGGCGCGAGAGCTGGATCCTGTCCTTGTCCTCCAGCGGCCGGCGGGACTGGGTAGCGAGGCGATTGTTAATAATCCCAGGCGAGCTGGCCGCGCCGGGCCTGGCGGTGCAGAGGGAGGCGGAGGGCATGACCGTGTTCTGCCTCTCCCTTCAGTTCCCTCGCTCCAGAAGCTTAGGGTGAGATTCTGTCCCTTATGGGACCCAACTGTTCCTACCCAGGTTACTGTGAGTTTATGAGAATGGTGAAGCTTCGTACTTACATTTTGAGAATGAAAACTCCATAACAACAGATTTCCCTCCCCTGCACCCTCCATCACGGAATCCCCGGCGCTTAAAATAGCGTCTGAGACGCAGAAAGCGAACGCTTAATGTCTGTAGGATGGATACTTAAATAAGAGCCACCAAGTTCCATTCCCTTCCCTAGGATTCTCCAACCCACACATAGTAGACTTCAAACGGCCTGAATACAATTTCGTCTTTGCCCTTAATGATTCAGAGACCTCAGCTGAATCGTTTTTTTGTTTTCTTTTGTTGATGTGTTGGGATACCGGACTGCAATATTTCTAAATCTGAGTTAACACTGTACCTCCACACAATTGAGTGAATACATTGCCCCTAGTGCCCATGTTTAGATACCCACTAAATGCCTCTGTCCTTTGTAGAAACTCCTTCTCCTGCTTAAAGGGCAGAATGAGGAGAAGGAAGAAAAATGGGTTATAATATATCTAGAGATTACATAAATTGGGAGGGTAGTCATCTGGCAGGCTGCAGCACACTAATAGAACTTCGGTAAATGAGAAAACCAACTGATCTCAACCCCAAAGTTTACAAGAATCTAGGAGGGAGAAATACATTGTCACCTAACTATAGAAAAAAATTAAGTGTGAGTGAGTGTCACCAGACATTAGTAGAAGTAAGTGTGTTCTTGAGTTGCCCTGGCTGTGCATTTTAGTGATGAAGACTATCTAGCCAAGGAAATTTTTGTGGCACCAAAGAACCCTTTGGTCTATGCCTCTTATGTTAAAATAAAACTGAAATATCCTGAACTATCCAGCGTCATGTCATCATGTTTAAATAAATAACCCAAGGCGTATATATTGGGAAGATGTGAGGAATTTGATTCCTCAAAACAAATATATAAACAAATTCACACACACACAGAGAGAGAGAGAGAGAGAGAGAGAGAGAGAGAGAGAGAGAGAGAGACCAATACTGTGTTTTCTAAAATGATCAATCTTATTTGCTGCTCCTTCAACAAATCTGTGGCATTCTCACCTTCATTAATCCCTCTTGCTTCTGCCATTTGGGCCATACCTGGTTAACAAACGTTAGATGAATCCTAAATTTCTGGCTCATAAAAGTGCAGAAACTGCCAGGTGGTGGCAGCACTGGTAGTGCATGCCTTTAATCCCTCCTCTCAGGAGGCAGAGGTAGGAGGATCTCTCTGAGTTCAAGGCCAGCCTGGTCTACAGAGTGAGTTCCAGGACAGCCAGGGCTGTTACACAGAAAAACCCTGTCTCGAAAAGCCAAAAAAAAAAAAAAGCAGAAAGTTTTTCCTTGGTATCCCTATGTTTTTTGTTTGTTAGTGTTTTTTTGTTTTTTTTTAAACATAGAAGATGAAACCTATGATCTGAGTTTGATCTTAGAAACTCACATGGTGGAAGATGAAAACCAATGTCCACAAGTTATGGTTTGTCCTCCACCATAACATGTGTATGCTTGCATGCAAAAGTTTGCTGGTTTGGTTTTGAGCTATAGGAAAGCTAGAAATGGGCAGAACACAGCTTTGCTTACCCAGAATGACTTCTGATCACACGATAGCAGAGGTTCTCAGAGCTTTACAGGATCCACCCAGCTGTTCATCACTCCTGTGAGAGCCTTGCTATGGCAAGAAAAGACTGGCCTGTTCTGCAGGCTTACTGCCATTGTCCATTACTGTAGATGTAACCAACCCTCTTATTAAATAAGAAACACAGAACCAATGTCAAAGAGAAAGCCAAGAGGTCAGAGCTCAGAGCTAAAATCTTAC